TTTTGTGGAAGAAATAAGTCAAATTGTTTTTAATCTGCGCGCACACAAAATCGCGGCGGCTAATCAGCAGTCAGGGTCGCTCTCTCTCTCTGTCTCTCTCTCTCTCTCTCTCTCTCTCTCTCTCTCTCTCTCTCTCTCTCTCTCTCTCTCTCTCTCTCTCTCTCTCTCTCCTGTGTAGCCCAGTGTGTAGCCCAGTCCTCACATCGTTAAGTCTCCCCCCATCCTTTGTGTCATCAAACCCAAGAGGTCTGATATGATAATATGTGTGAACTGAAATGTGAAAGCAATTCATATCACTTTCCAAAGGCTTTGAATTTCTGATTTGCATAACTAGAGAAAATGATATTAGATGGGCATATTGATTTAATTTCATCCTAGAGTGCTGTTAATTATGGTATCATAAAAGTGTCATCTCTTTATTATCGGGTTCAGAATGGAGGTTGATAGCCGGCTTTTGGCGTAGAATTCACCTAACGTAGGAAAGGCTCTCATCATGACACTGTTCCGCATAATTTTACATTATGAGACTGGGCCAAGATTTGGAAGATACTCTTCTTTTTTCAAATCATTATCTCTGAATCAAAGTTTTTTGGCTTTAAAGGATTAGCTGTACCACTTCTCACACCCGCACATCCTTTGATAGCATCCGCTATCGTACGCTCTAAGTGTTTGACGTCTGCTTTGTTTGGCCTGTGTTGCTGGTGCCTTGATTTAGGCCCCGTTTACACAGAGAAGATACGGCCCTGTGTTTGATGAAGACGGAGCGTTGGGCCGATCCATGTGAATGCTCTGTTTTCGGCGGAAACTGTAGTCGTATCATATCGTATCAGTACTCAGTAAAAAAACCAGGTTGGCACGTTTAGCACAACATGACCGGAAAAAGGCGCTTGCTTTCAGGTCTGTCAGACATGTGAGTCACATATGGCCTTTGTGTTTGTTGTTCATATCACACAGAGTGCAATCTGTATGGCATCATGGGTCCAGTTGTGCTACTGCACATCCTGAAGAGCAGCCCATGGTCAATGGGAGGATGGCTGAACAAATGAAGTATCCCCTCCCCTGCTGCCAGATGAATTTGGATCTTTACAAATGGATTCTCCCAGCTCAATTTATCTAAATGAACAGTGATCATGGGGCAGATCTCCCCCATCCTTAATGCTGGACCGCTATTGAACAGATATCTCTTTAAACACAGCAAATAGGTGGTCTGGGCTGAAGGAAGGCCATGTGCATTCATTACCTCACGTCTCTCTTTTTTTTTTTTTTTTTTCTTTTTCTCGGGAACACAAAGCAGTGCATAATGTTCAATCTGATAAGTGTTCTCCTGCGTGCGCCAGCCTCCTCCTCCTCCCCCCGCCCCCACTTCCTTCATCATGCCATACATCACTGGCCAGCTCAGCTGTGGTTTGCGAGAGGAGAACTCTGGGATTGGTGTGGCTGAAGTTGATGAATAGGCCTGTGAGGGTGAGAAACTCCAGGGCCAAGCTGTAGGTCCATCCCCATGGCATGTGATGCTGATTGGCTTTGTCCTGTGCGGCCGCTCTGGAGAAGCGGACATTAAGATTAAGTGATGCTGTCGTGTCGGGGAGCAGTGCACTGCATCATCCTGGGGAAGAGACAGCTGCGGTGGTTAATCCTTCATCGCCAGGGGAGCGCTGCCAGAGCAGAGATATACAGCCAAAGATAACCCTCCATAACTTCTGCTAAAGATCAGAAACTTTGAGTTTGCATCCATCTGTCCTCAATCCTCACTTAAAAATGAGGAACGAGCAGAGACAGCGCCACAGACAGTGGAAAACAAATGGAGCAAATAACATCAAGATGAGGCGAATGTTTTAGTGAGCGGTAATAGTACCTCTCTAACTAACAGCCAGTAGAAGCCAGTCATTGTGCTGCACACGCTGTAGCTTCTGTGAGAGGAGGGGGGGGGAAAGCAACAAGGGCAAACAAACAGAAACCCATTTGCACGGCCTCTGCAATCACTCTTGTGTCAGTGGCTAACGGACAGAGGTGTTCTTTATCACACATCCTGAGTTGTGGGAATTTCCAGTAGATGGAAAATTAGATTTAAACAGAGCAGAAAAGGCGCTGGGAGTAGGGCTAAAGTGGTCTGTATTTATGTGTCTGTGTGTGGCATCAGCACATTTCAGATTGCTGGGTTTGCATGTTTGTTGTTGCTTTGATGTAGCTGTCATGATGTGATGGATGAACATCATCATGTAAAGAGTAAAAGGAGAGGTTTGAGCTGCAAGAAGGAGCCGACATGTTATATTTCCCAGGATGGCCTGAAAAGACATTATAGCGGGATCAGTCTCCCTCTATCCACTTCACCCTCTCCGCTGCAAAAAAAAAAGAAAACAGCCAGTCTGCTTGAACTTTACCGCTTCCATTTTCATAGCAGTTGTGCTCTCACTTTTTTTGAATATGGTAATTTCCTTGTCGGAGATCCTGGGGGGATGATGTATTCGGGATGGCGGAGGCATACCTGCAGAGAGCACTTGTGACAGTGACATATTAGTTAGGGTGTCTCCTGGAATCTGATAACTTCAAATTTGCCACCTTGTTAAGTTTTGATTTATGTGATACCATTTCACTAAAGTAATTGGCCTGGCCTGTTGTAGAAAATAATCAGCCTCTCTGCAGAACAAATGCTGGGCCATGCTAATGAGGCGGCCCGAGTGCTGAACTGATGCTGCCGACTGACAGTTATTAATGATTGTTATGATATACAGACGAGTCCAGATTGGAGTGAGTGTGCTGGAAAAATGTGACATTTAAAAAATATGGCATATTGGGAAGTACTAATGAACTAATACTCTGCTAGGAAAACAATCATGTGCGTTGTCAAGGCAATGTGTAATTACCCAGCAGCCACCCTGACTGGTGCTTTGGCAAGCAGGCTGGAGGGAGAGCTAAACAACCTGGCTGCTAATGGATACAGCTCTGCTGGTAAGGGGCTCAAATGCAGCAGGCAGTGACAGAGGTGTACAGATTGATGAATTAATGGGGTCTTTCCTGGGACATAAGGGGAACCGCTGCGGCATATGCTCAGCTTGTTACTTTGGAAAGTCTACCGACCCTGAAAGTGAAGCCATCCCACGCAGGGAGTTGTGGCTTTTTTATTGCTATTTTTTTTTTTCCTGGGGGGTTTGATCGCACACAGTGAAGCGAGTTTCATATTGGTGTCCTGTAAGTAGTGCTGGCTTGGCCCGCATGATAAATTAGCACTATCAACATAGCAGCGTTTATTGGTAATTACTGCCATTTTACTCTGTTCTGTTCCAAACCTCAGGTAGTTTTTTTTAAATGTATGTATAACATTTATATTAGAAACACAACCTTTATGATCTTGAAAAAAAAATTGTCTTCCAGACAAGTTGGTACCCTTTCTAAAAAATACAATGATAAAATTGTTTTGAAAATAGAGATAGAAAATGTTTCAGTTTTTCTCTGACCTGTGTGGTTTGTGGTTGTGAAATTGAGGTCAACAAGGAGCAAAAGCTATTCCCACTCACTGCAGCAATTATTACGCTCAGTTTCTAAACAATAAAAATGTATTTTTTTTTAGCCCAAATCACTACACTGGAAGACAACAGACTCCTGTCAACTCTGTCCAAAGGTTGAACAGTGGGCAGTGCCTCCACTGGACACTAACCAAAGCCTTCAACACCGGATCAAAGGGTCCCGTGAATGACACCCCCCTCCCGCTGACCTCCACGGTCCATCCTCAGTCACTTGCAGAGCTCCTCACATAGTTGTCATTTAATCACGGAGCTGCGACACCCCTCTGTCAAAGCTCTCCAACATTTGTACTAAGCGCCGACTCCCACTGAGTGAGAATGAAAGTTCTCACAGCTGCTAACTGTCACTGTGGTCTTACTTCAACAAGTACCCATTGGTGTTGATGCCTCTCCCCCTCCTCACCTCCCTCCCATTCATCTCCCATCAAGCCTGTGCATTAGGGCCGACTTCCGACCGCATCAGCGGGCCTCCTCGGCCCACAGAGAGTCCCAGAGCCATCAGTACGAATTAACGTGGAGGCTTCTGTAATGGTGATGCTTTTGGTGCCACTGAGCATTATAGCCACTCCAGGGCTGAGGATCTTTGTCAGCTATTATTTCAATACGTGAGTGTGTGTTGCCTCGTCTTTCCAGCTTCAGTATCGTCCACAGTCAGCGTGGCTGTAGGCGTCCAGGTTCTGATAGTTGACCTTCTTTTCTCATTTGTGGTATCAGTGAAGCTGAGGTTAGGCCACCGTCCTGGTGATAATTACTAACTCTGACTGAAGGCCTCCATCCATGCCTTTAAAAAACACCACACTAATTTCATTGATTTAATTAGAACGAATATGGATATGATTGGCTGTCCAAGTTACAGTTATTGGATTTTGAAATTGGAATTTTCAAATTGATTAAATGTTTAATGTAATTAATCTAATTAATCACATTTAACATGACTAATCGCGATCATACTCGATTACATTTACTATAAAGTTTAAACAATGTTTTTTTTTGTTTGTTTTTGAATACTGAAGACGTCAGGAGCAGGTCTTCTCTTTGGAGGCGACCTTATTGGATCACCATACTGTTACATCAGACCACAGCGTGGACTGTTGGCTCTTACACCTACATATCTGTTGTCTCTAAGGCCTGAACAGTGAAGCTGGAGCTCCTATTAAAAGGTTGGACAAACATTTCTGTGCTGGCCGCAGACATAGTAACCAAGCTGGGAAGCCACATGCGTCACACGGGTGTTAAGAGTCGTTCCAGAATTTTCTCGTCAGGGCGGTACTTTTTGATGACATGTGATGAACTGCTGCGGGAACTTTAAAATGAGCTAATAGTAGATGCGGCCATCACACAACGTATTTTTCTTACTCCACCAAAACAAAAACTAGAAACTATTAAATCCGATCTGATCTTTGGTTCTAATGACTGACGTCTTGTTCTGACCTCTGTTTTAATACCCTCCCTCTGTCTTTCTCTCTCCCTTCTCTTCAGATGCTCCCCCCGTCTCTCTCCGAACCGCTCCCACCGCTCAGTCCTTACGTTCATCAGAAGAGACAGGTGAGTTAGTGTGTGTTCAACACCAAACCGCCGTAATTGTTTTTCATACAGAATGAGAGCCACAGACTAGACAGGGATTGTAGAGAGACAACAGGACTGATTAGCCAGGGTTGGATTAGCTTGCTGGACCATTGTGACGTCTGTCTCCTTCCTTTCCCTGGACGGTGGATGTGATCAGTCCTAGTGGTGGGCACAGACAGGAGACTAGGTGAGATCATGGACAGCGTAGAGGAAGGAGACTTTCCTCTGACACTCAGTGGACCAATCAGCACGAGGCTTGTGATTGAGCTTGTTCACTGTACTCCTACAGCAGTGATCATCAACTGGCGGCCCGCCAAACCGTCCAATCTGACCCATGACTGGATTCCAAAATTGTGTGGATTAAAGAGGAAACTGTTGTGTGGTCTCCCCTATTAAAACATCTGAAAAAAAAACCAACAACTAAGACTTAAATTACTACCAGGAATCCCCTCTATTTATGACTCTGATTAATGAAAAGATTGGTTTGAAAAAAGAAAAGTGATTTTTATTTCATTTTATTTCAGTGTCCGGCCCCGAGCTGAGTCTGTCCAGAAGAATTTCTGGCCCTCCGACAAATGCGGTTGGTGACCCCTGTCCTCCACTTTGGTAAGTCCGGTGTTTTTGCATGTTATTAATGTGGTTATGGATTGATGCTGACTTTTAAATGGATGGAGCGGAGTGAGTGAGATATGAAGTTTGTTAGCTTAGAGCGCTCTCGCCATAAATCACCGGCAATTACAGTGTTTTTGAACAACATAAATATTAGGCTTATTTAAAAGAACATTGAATAGCTGTGTGCCCTCATGGCCTGGAAAACTAATGTGCACTATTCAAAATATGCATCCCATCTGGCTGCATCTTGTTTACAGAGCACAGTGGCAGCTTGGGGTTATTAATCACTTTTGTCTTAATTACCCTGCATAGCTGCTCCATCCCCAACTCCGCATTTGACCTTTTTGCTGGATCCTTTTACGCCATTAATCATGCAAAGATCAACGCCAGCCAAATAAGAGTAGATTGCAGAGCATTGCCTCAGCGCCGTATGGGGGAACATGAAGCACTTGGAAAGCAACTTGTGTGTAATTATGTGTAACCATGAACTATCAGCACAACTGGTTTGTTTTTGCCACCTGCATTTTAAAAAGCACTATGTCCTCAGATGAAAACTTTTCCATGTAAACCTTTTGTTTTTTGTTTTTTTTGGAGAATCACCAAACACGGAGATAATAAATGTTAGCCTTCTTTAGCTCTTTAGCTAGGTAACGTTTATGGTTATTTGCCATATGGCTTGGAGCAGAGTCAGCCTTCACTTTAATCTGACAGGTAAATGAGAGTCTGTGTGTGGTCTTATCTGCTGATGAGGGACACTTCAGTCCTGTAGGCTTCAGCGTCCTTGCCAGAAAGTCGATACAGTTTGCGGAGAAGTCTTAACCCTGGCTGATTTCTATTCGTCACCAGCAGGCTGAAGAGTGAGATATTGTCATCGTCAAACCAATCACATGGGCCGTAACGAGCAGACACGCATGACGAATCGCCATCAGACAGTCTCTTTTGTTTTCAGGAAAATTGATTTTAATTGGTAAAGATTTCATCTGATGACCTGCGCTGATTCTCCACACCCCTGTGGTCGATTGTTTCCAGTAAAGTTGTGTCATTCATCACTCAGGTCAATAGCACAGCGGATCAAATTTGCATTTCACACTGCGGCCGAGTGATATGAGTGAACTCCTCCTTTTCCTCCGCTCCTCACCTCAGAGGCGGTTAAACAGATGAACTATTGCAGGACAGAGATTAAACTGTAACTGAGGGAGCCTCAGTCCTGTGTGAATGAGGCCCGACAGACAGTTTATCAGTAAACTAATTAACATGATTTATGGTCACGGGTAACCATGAGGCTGGCCCATAAATACAAAGGGCCGGCAGAGCTGCTCCTTCTAAGGCGAGATGTTATCAGACCTCTTCCACTTTGCTGGCATGGAGTCAGCATGCATTTGTAAATGTGGCTACTGTGCATGAAGCGCCCTGCCCCCCTTGCAGTGGGTCAGGAGTTCAAAGCCTAGCCTGAAGAGTTGAGGAGTAGGGCGTGAACTCCCGACCCTGTTCATGTAACAGGCCGAGCAGGGGAGGCCGGTCCCACCCAGGTGCCTGTCTGACCTCCAGCGTGAAAATAGCTGAATTTAAGTTGAATTAATGGCGGATGCTTCACACGGGATGGTTTAAATCAAATTAATTGAAGGTTTTACTGATTTATCACAGGGAAAGTCGGCAGCACAGTCACATCTATCACAATGCTGACACGTGGTTGGCCGCCCCAAATTTTCACTTACCGCTCGTGTGGAATTTTGTTCTTTTTCGTGACTTTGGGATCGCTGTTTACTTTTAGAAGATTTACTGTTTCCCCCAAACATGTTAATTGAGCTCTTGTCTTTTATGTGGGTGATGTAGTGTTTTAAGTGACGCAGTCCGAGGTCGCCAGGTCTTTAACGCAGGCTTCGCCTCAGGTTTATTTTGACAATAAACACAGCTTGAAAGGCAGACGTTGTCAGCACATTATCTTTTGATTTAGACTGCATTAGATAAGGTTTTGGAGATAGTGGAGGGTGGGCCGGGGGGGGCGGGGGGGGGTGGGCTGTTATAAATTAAAAA